CGCATCATAATATAATTTTAAATTAGGAACTTTAAGACCTCCTCGTTCTCTTATATCCTGCATAATCTTAAACCTAACCCTTGGTTTCTTGCCTGCCCAAATAAATTTGTTTATACCCTTTTGCCAATCATCCAAACCAGCATCTTTTTTAAAAATAGGAATCATCTGGAACAAGAAAAGAAATTTGGGAAGAACATTCTAGTTATATCTTTAACTCCATACATATTTTGGAAATTATTGTGTTCATATTTGGTTATTCTATTCCCAGCAAGAAGAAAACTTATGGTATTGCTTTTATTGTTAAGTTTAGAGTCTTATAGTTGCATTGCAGGCTAGAGAACTTGAATCCCATAATAAATAATATACCAACTGTGCTATGTGCATATAAGGTGAAAGTTGGAAACTTTGTAAAATGTGTCTCATGACATTATTGTGGCAATAATGCAGTTGCATCAGTCAGATCATGATTTCTGACACAAGTACAGAAAATTCTTCATTTGTCTAACAACATGATACACAAGGTGTCATTCCCCGATCAGGCAATGGATTTCTACAGTATTGAGTCCAATCCCCTGATTAGTTCAGGAATTCAAATTGAACTATCCTTGGCAAACGCTATACCCAAACAGAAACACACATATTATTTTCCTGGAAAATAGTAGTGATTTTAATTGGTAACATACACATATATAAATTCTCATGTCTGTAACCTTCTACTGGGTGATATGGTGAATCATAGGGCAAACTAGTTGAACCGAGGTACCTCAAATGGGCTAACTTACAGAATGCGTCCATGACTCCTTGTGTCATTCTTTCAGTGGTATTTTCGTACCAGATTCCTCAATGCCTTCAACAATGGCAGAACTTCTAATGTACTTGAAAAGTTCTTAAAAATTCAGGGAGATATTTAGAGCTGTATCTGCCTTGAAAGTAGCCCATGTTGAACTGTATAGCATAAACAAACATCAGGAGTTGACAGCAGGAAATGCTTTCTGACATTTTATGTATTGCATGTCTTATGATAGCACTTAGCAATAGCACTTAGACTTATATACTGCTTCACAGCACTTTACAGCCTCTCTAAGTGGTTTACACAGTCAGCCTATTGCCCCCAACAATCTGGATCCTCATTTTACTGATCTCGGAAGGATGGAAGGCCAAGTCAGCCTTGAGCCATTCAGAATCGAACTCCTGAAGTGACAGTGAGTTAGCCTGCAGTATTGCATTCTAACAGTTGCGCCACCACGGCTCTATTTTATGTCATAAAATGTTTTATAAAGTTTGCCAAATTTTAATTTCATGGGAGTCAGGGTTCTGGATTTTGGATGCCTTCTGTAGGTTAGCCCATTTGAGGTACCTTGGTTCAACTAGTTTGCTCTATGATTCACCATTTTACTCAATTAAAGGATACAGACATCAGAGTTTGTGTGGTGTGTGTGTATGTGTGTATTTGTATCCTGCCTTTATTATTTTTACCAATAATTCAAGGTGGAAAATATATCCAACACACTTTCTTCCTCCTATTTTCCCCATAACGACAACCAGGGAGGTGAGGTTGGCTGGCTATCATGGCTAAGGCAGGACATATATTGAGGTCACATTTCTCCACCTTGATAGCATTCCTATTCTTGCCTTCAGTTCTTTTAGGACTCAGTGATTCCTGAGGATCTTATTTAAAGACTTCCTTTCATAATACAGTTTCCAGGAGTAGTCCTTTCAAAGTGCTACCTATTTGCAGATGTCAGCCTTCTCTGTCACAGGCTGCAACTTCCATGATTCTCTAAGATGGCTATGCTATCTTGGAGATACCTTTTTTTAAAAAAAACATGTGTGTGTTTGTCTCCATATTATGATAAACTGCGAGAAAGTGTGTTCATAGCTGCATAAAAATGGAAGCCAATTTATCTTTGGTCTTATTGAGCCCAAAGGCTGCATATTACATGCAGTGGTCTTCATGAAGAGAATGCCCCAAGTAGCTTCCATGTGGAGTGATTTGGGAATAATTCTGAAGTGCCATCAGTATAATGAAGCCTTAATTTTTTATTAGATAACCACAGTATAACATTTCTTCTAGAGCTATTCCCTATATAAAGGCTTATGCTCAACTCAATATTTGGAAAGTATTTTAAAGAAGTAATTTATTAAGGGTTAAGTATGCAGGTATTTTTTTTCTTGGTTTCATATTTCTTTGCAGCAAAGTCTCTTATTGCTGACAAATATAAACAACTAATGATGCTATCCTTAACTAGACTGAAGAATTGTAACATATTGGCCATTTCAATTTGCTTCTAAAATAGTTCTGAGCTATTTGCAAGCAGGACTGTTAACTGTTTTACTACTAATGAGTTCCATAACATTAGCATATAAAATAAAATTGATCTTTATAGGTTGCCAACTGTGTACATCTGTCGATAGGGTGTCATTAAAAAGATTAATTGATTCAAAGTATTCCATTGTAAATCTTATGGAAGAATCACATATCCTTTGTAGCTGTTTTCTAAACTAGATTCTTTGTGGTATCATTTACATAAATATGTTCAAACTTACCTATGACTCCTCACTTTTGTTTTCCTAGCATCACTTGGTTGCCTGAATATTTTAGGGAAGTAATTTATCATTTAGATTTGAAGATTTCCTGTGAAGACTATTTTCTTTTATTGCCTCAGAAGCTCAAATAATCTATTGCAATTTTAAATGCCTTAATATATACAAATATATTTTACTTACTGCTATATCCCTTAAAGACATCCATAACTCTCTACCCCAGCGGTTCTCAACCTATGGGTCGCGACCCCACTTGGGGTCGATCGACCATTTCACGGGGGTCGCCAAGCAAGGCTGTCCGCCATTTTTTCCCCTTTTCCGGCGGGTGCCTTATCTCCCTTGGGCTGGGCCAGCTGGTGGTCGGCCTGCTCCGTCTCTGCTGCTTGCCAGCTACGCCTCGGCCGGCTCGGGGCAGAACCACGCATGCGCGGTGCTCCCGGGCAGGAAAAGTCCTCGACTTACGACCGGTTGGGTAGTCCTCGACTTATGACCGGTTTAGTCCTCGACTTACGACCGGTTGGGGGTCGCGGCATTAAAAAGGTTGAGAACCACTGCTCTACCCTATAGCATGGAGACATTAAAAAACAGAAAAAACACTGATGACATCAACAGCTCTTGGATCTTCTAGGCCATCTTCTCCAATCTAGTGCCCTCTAAATACATTGGACTGTAATTTCTCTAGCCAATATGCAGTTGTAGTTCACTACTTCAAAAAGACATAAGGTTGTAAGGATCTGTTGTAGACATTCAGGGCCTGAATTGTTCCTCCTCTTCGTTCTTACTATTAATAGATGCTAAAAGTTAGTCATGTGCAATGAACCAAGAGGATGAACAAGTTTGGTTCAATTACTTCTCCATATTTTCCTCCAGCTCTCCCCATATGTAGTATGTACAAGATTATGGGGGGGGGGGGGATTAAGTTATCTCAGAAGGACCAAAGTGCTTTATTTCACCAAGCTTTATCATATAGAAATTTGTTTGTTACCAGAGTGAGTGTGTCAGAGTCTGAGAAGAAGGCTAATGGAACTTCAATTAAAATCTCAGCATCATCAGGAGACTAACCTCATAGACTTCCATCAAACCATTTTCTCAATATAATCTGTCTATAATCTTGCATGAGTGCTTGACTGGTGCATGTAGGGTATTCATGCTATTGGAGGAAAGTTGAGATAAAAATGTGCTGAAGCAAGGCATTTCATTAATTCCTCTATGCCCGTTATCTAAGATTGTTTTAAGAGACAGAAATCTGTGAATAAGGTTAAGAAGAGTTTTGCTTTCAAAGCATGCAAGCAGATGGTGCTGCTTCTATCCTGGAGTGACTGAAGAATGGAAAGAAGCTAATTTTGCTGAACTCCTCTCCTTACTCTGGTATCCTGCAGTCAGAAGAATTAGTCTTATGCTGAGTGAACATGGCTACACTTTATCAAAGCTGCTTATTACTTAACCCTATTACGTTATATCATTTAGCTTAGCATTTCCTTGTGAAAGCAGGGCATTCCATGAAGGCAAGTCATCTTTTTGCAGATATACAAGGCAAAGAGGAAAATAAGTCTTGGGGAGAAATGTTAGGATAGAATAAAAAGCATGGATGGTTGATCATGGCATCAAAGTCTAAGAGATTTCACACGTACATACTTTTAAATGCAGCTGGTGTCCAGATTGGAAGCCAACTGTATCAGTGGGGAATCCCTGTACTGCATTTCTAAATGACGCCTGGAGACTTTCCATAGCATTCACCGATCTGAAGAAGGGATTCTAGTTATAATTTGTTGAAACTGAATGGGATTAGAGGAAGAGCAGTGAGGAAAAAAATTGCATCACTTTCACTACTGCTACTCAGATAAATTGACGAGTTAGGCAGTGGGGCCAAAGTATGGAGCTCCTGCTGACTGGCTGCATCTCTCTCTTACACCTATCTATAGTAGTAGCATTCACAACCTTTCTGCCAGCCTCAGCCTTCAGACAAGGACTGCAGTTGATTTGTAAGATGTGTTGTCCTCAATACAAAGAGGTGTGCAAGTGAGAATTCCCCACTTTGTGGTACTTTCAGAAAAATGAATTTCCTTGTTCCTGTTTCTGCAATTATCAGCATTAAAATTTGATGCCACACATTTTATATTTAAGATAATACATGTATGCTAAGTAACAGAAGTAGCCAAGGCGTCTTTGTGCAAGAGATGCTATGTTTAATCCAGTTTAGTGCTGTTGCAAAGTGTTTTCTTCTCCAGGAAACAGAAGGTAGTTTATTTAGAAGCAAACTGTGATTTTATGAGATTCATCTTCACTAAAAATTGGGTTTCTATCCCCTATTCCAGGGATTGCTGTTTGCAACATACCTTCTGCAGCAGTTGAAGAAACAGCTGATTCTACCCTCTGCCATGTTCTGAATCTCTACAGGCGGAACACTTGGCTCTACCAAGCTCTGAGGGAAGGAACCCGAGTGCAGAGTGTAGAACAGATACGGGAAGTAGCTTCCGGAGCAGCCCGCATTAGAGGCGAAACACTTGGTCTGATCGGATTTGGTATGTTGGAGCTTTCTGGGGGGAAACAGAATTTTGGCTTGTTCAAAATGGGTATCATAGGGACCAAGTCTTCCAAGGAGACTTCTATGTGGATTCTGCCACCAGTTCTGCTGTTGCACCATTACTTGTGGAGGAGGATGTTTTAAGCAGAAGCTGAACCTTGAGTGTAAAGGGAAGACTTACTGTAACCTGGGTCAGGGGATCTGCTCCCAACAACCACCTCCTTCCCTATATGACAGTAGTGAGGGATCAAGGAGTTGTAGTTCAGCAGTGTTTGGAAAACTACAGTTCTTCACCCTCTGATCTAAC